TGATGGACCTTGCTGTTGATTTAATTTTTTTTTTAATCATCATTTTACATCGCTTCGACCCGGTTAGGGTATACTGCGATGATGATCAAGACTTTAAATGGTTAGATCGCACCATTCTACCCGGCCGGGATTTGAACTCGGAACCTTTCGCATGTGAGGCAACGAACTTACACACTGCGCTAAGCCATCGGGCTGTTGACTTAATAAAAGTGGTGAAATTTCATGCTGATCATCTGCTCTACTTTCATCTTTAACTGTCATCTTTTTTTTCTTATTTCTCATGAATCTTTTATAGTTATTCTGCTGTTGCCCCGCATGATCAACCAATTTTTCGAAAGGAGTTATTACTGGTTTCAAGGCTTCATTCATAGCGCGCTCAGTAATGTCTTTACCCAGTTTTATAGCTTTATATTTATGACGAATTGCTTTGCTTGCTTCAGCAATGTGATGCAACACGGCTGACTCTTGTTGCATGTTCTTGCACTGCATGTTGAAGGATATGCCTTCAATTCAATACTGTCTCAAACTGCAATAATCAATCGCTATTTATATGCACATAGCAATCGAATCCTTTCCTGTACCGCCCCTCATGCAATTCACAATCTTTATTAATGGTGATAAATGCATATTTATCAGTGCTCCAACATGCTGAACACAATTCTTTGAACGGTGCGTACAATATATCAGTATTGACATGATCATGGTAAATGTGCTTCAAATTCATCTCATCCTGACGAAGGAGTATGAGCAGATTTGTATTATCACGCACTAAGTGCTTTGGAATACGAGCGTAAGTTTGACAGAGATAGAAACAGTCTATATTCCGATGTCGACCCATATAGTAAAATGCGCGCATATTATCTTGTTATATAACTGTTATATAATGTGTTCCCCGAAGGGTGAACAAGAGGTACCGAGTCACATTTTCTTATATCTACCTAAATATATTTCAACTTAACCTAACTTTTTTTTCTAATTCCACGCGCCCTCCTCCCAGCCCAAATCGCATCGACTCTAACCCACCCGAGCTCTCGAACGAAGCGAGACAAGAAGAACGAAAAAAAAAGAACCAAGATAGAAAAACCGAAAGAGAATGAAAATGAAAAAAAACTAAAATGAACCAAAAGACATAAAACTCAGCGAACTCTCTCTGCCTGCGTCCTCTTCCTCATCCTGTCCACGTCCTGTTTGCTGCTCTCATTCTCTCCGGGTCCCTTTCTCTCTGTGCCGGTCAGCGGTCCCCTCACCGAGATGGGCCTACTCAGTCCACCCCATCACCATGAGCGTTCCACCGACTTCCTCAGCTCTCCGCCGCCGCTCTTCTCTCCTCTCCTATTCTCCCCATTACCCTATCCCTCCTTGTTCTTCTTCCTCTCTCTCTCTCCTCCTCGTTCCTATCCGCCCAGTCCCTTTTGCTATTCTCTGTCTCATCCTCATCTTCCCGTCCTCCTCCTCCCCTTTCTCCTCCTTCCTGTCCCCCTTTTCACTTCTCTGCCTCGCCCATTTTCCCCCTACACATTTCCACCAAACTCCGTCTATGCCAAGTCTGTCTTTCTCCTCTATCACTAGTCGTCCAAGCCTTCTCTCTTCCCTTGCCCTTTCCTTCACCATCCACTTCGTCCTTCTTTCCTCGTTCGTCAGATCCTCATCCACCCAGATCCCAAACACTTCCTCAATTTCCTCCTTACCCTGTATCAGCTGCTGCAATTCCTTTTTCTCCGCCATCTCTACCAACAATAAGACTTCTCCTTGCCCCGTTGTCTTTTCATCCATCTTCACAATATCCACCTCCTTGTTTAGGCACCTTTCAATGATTCTTCTCACCTGCTTCCTCGCATTCCAGCCTTTCTCCTTCAACCCCCTCTCCACAATTCTCCTCTGCCTCCCTTTTTCCCATTCCTTCTTACATTTCTCTCTCTCCACCCTCATTGCTGCGTCTCCCACCTTCACCTGTCTCTTTGCCGTCTCACTCTCTCCTTCACCTGCCTTCTTCGCGCTCGCATGGCTTCCCCAACCAAATCCGCCTTCGTCCCGAGTATCCCTCGTCATCACCAGCACTTCCTTCAACAACCCACTAATCACCTTCAACTCGTTCAACATGCCTTCTTTCCACTCTTTATCATCCGCCACCCACTTATTCCATTCTTCCTCTGACATTCTTCACTCTAACCTCGCTTTCTAACCCGGCCACGTGTATCACAATTCGCAGTTACTTTCGCACCGCTTGTTGTCACTTCAACGCTCTCATCCCCTCGATCCTCTGCCCCACCATAGCTTCCAGCCTAGCCTAACCTTGCCACCTTCACTAACCCTGATTCCAGTTCCACCTATTCCTGCCTTTCACTGCGACTCACTTCAGACCATAAGCCTCTAGTTGCCACGTTTTCCCTGCTACCCCATAACCTCTCCATCACCTTCCCGTTCCTCCTCATTACACCACTTTACCATTTTCCCCCTCACTTTCATCCTCTTTCCATTCCTCAACCCATCCTACCTCACCCACTCCATGTTTTCCCTCTCCCTTACTCCTAGAAATCTCTTTCCGACCTCCTTTTCAGACTCCTTTCCGACCGTCTTTTCAGAGTCCACAAAAGCCACAACCTCTTCGATCCCTGTCCACTCCGTTCCCCGCATATTATCTTGTTTTTCACAGGCAACATCATCGAATATCGTTATAGAGTTGGGTTTAGTCTCCTCAGGTTTCACCACTTCATCATGATCATTGAAGGGAAAATAGCCAATAACTTCCACTGATTCCAATAACTGTCTCAAGAATTGATATTGTGGTTGATTCTGAGATTTAGAGTATACGTAAATGTTCTCAAATTTCAAGCCATTGGGGTGAGTGATGAGTGCAAACAGAGCATTCATTTTACCACAGTTAGAGGGTCCACATATGATTGCGCGTACAGTATTAGGCAGAAGCGGACCATGATGATTTTTCTGCTTATCTTTCTTTTTATCAGTAATTTTATCGAAATTGATGACTGGTAGCTTTGAACTTTGCTCCTTGAATTCCATCTTGACGACTGCCGTGACAGTCTATAAATACAGAGTCTTTATGGATTTTCATTCAGTATCTGAGAGGTCATGGTGGTGATCAAACGTACAAAAACACCAAAGGGTAAAGGTCTCGTGAATAAACTCATCGTTAAATTACCGATTGAGTTGCACGTACCTGGTTATCAGTACTGTGGACCTGGAACAAAGCTGGCTAAGCGATTGGCACGTGGTAATCCTGGCATAAATCCACTGGATGCCGCGTGTAAGGAGCACGATATAGCTTATTCAAAGAATCGGGAGAACTTGACGGCTAGACACGCGGCAGATAGTGTCCTTGCTGATAAAGCTTGGCAACGAGTTTTGGCCAAGGACGCTAGTCTTGATGAGAAGGCAGTGGCCTGGAGTGTGGCTAATATCATGAAGATGAAAAAAAAATTGGTATAGGTATGAATCGAAAACCCAATGAGAAGGCGAAGAAGAAGAAGAAGACTGGAAAAGGTTGTCGGAAGAAGCTTGGTGGGGGTAGCAAAAAAAAGATACTACTGCGTCATATTGTGCAGACTACTAAAGGGTCTATGCACTCTGGAGTCGACCCTGTCAAAAGTACATTGAAAGGTGCACGTGACACAGTTAAAAATGCAGGAGGGAAAAAGAAAATGAAACCGACACCAAAGATTCTCCCTATTCCATAAAAAATGAATGGGATTTTACCAGCATTTCTCATCCCACTTTTTGCTGGACTCAGTGCCACAGATGCTTTAACAGGTGGCGCTTCTGCTACTGCCAAAGCAATCAGTGCCTCAAAACACGCCGCCAAAGAACTTGAAGACAGCCAACGACACAATCGTAGCATGGAAGCCATTGCTCTGGGTAAGGGATTGTACTTGAAACCCTATAAGTCGGGTTTGGGCTTACATTTAAATTAAAAAAAACTAATAAAACTACCGCACCGAGCGCTCACTGACAGTGATCTAATGAAATATGCTGGCATCATGAAAATTCCACTTTTCCGTGGGGTCTACATGAGAAATGATATGCAACAAGGTAGACCATGGAAATATGAATCAGCTATTGTGGATCTTGACGATAAAAATGATCCAGGTACTCATTGGGTTGCATACAAAAAGAAGGATGATGAAGTTATCTACTTTGACAGTTATGGCAATTTACGTCCACCTCAAAACTTGATTAATTATCTCGGTAGCGGTAGCGGTTCTACATTAACGACCAGCGTGTGCAGACAATTCATGAATGCTTTTTGAGCATTGATATATTTTGAGCAGGATATAAGATCATTGAAGCTCCTGCACAAGTCATTTACCTGCCAATCGTTGTGCAGTCAATGGATCATCTGCACTGGGTGTGGGTGTTTCGAATATTAAAAATTGTGGACCTAGACGATCGTCAGGTGAATTTTCGTGGAGAAGTCATTACAGCAAGTTTTCATATAAAATCTGACTCTGGGGGAAAAAATGTGAATTGTCTTTGAGAAGAAAATTGATCAGAGTTATAAAAGTGAGGATTCATGCCGGAAAGTGGACAGTCGTCGAGTGCCTCTCACGAAGCTGACATCGCAGAACATCAAGTTTCTGAGGAGCCTGGATCTGAAAGTTCGCAGAAAAGTGACAAAGGGAAGTTTTGCTGTTTCGTCATAGCCTGTTGTTACTGCCGCCTACCATTGAAGAAGTTTTAAATATTTAAAAATGGATCATCTTTGATGAGTCCATTGCCCATTATGAAATTCATGTACATCAACCATTTGTATCATCTTCCTTTGGCAACAACGATGAAATTCGTATTTCCGTGAAACATCAAGATCTCTGTCTGTTGCCAAGCAAAAGTTCACTGCATATTTGTGGTCGATTAATGAAAGTGGATAATACTGCTGTTGTTAACACGCAGTTTGTCAACAATGCCATGTGTCATTTATTCGAGAAGATACGCTATGAATTGAATTCTATGGAAATTGATCGATGCAAAAATGTTTGACAACACTAATGAAGAACTACATCTCTCAGAGTCCCAATCTAAGTTTTCTAATGGAAAATGCAGGCTGGAAAATCAACGATGAGAAGAAAATTACTGATAATGAAGGATACTTTGATGTGTCTATTCCGTTGAGCATGATTTTGGAGTTTGCTGAAGATTACCAGAGAATTATTGTGAACGCAAAAAATGAGTCAATTCTGACGCGCTCGCATAACAATCTTAATGCTATCATTCAACAAGCTCCTGTTGCAGTACAGCAGGCTGAAACTTTCAAAATCGCCATTACCAAGATTGATTGGATGATTCCCTACATCAAACCTGCAGACTGTCGGAAAGTGCAACTTCTTAATCAGATTTCAAAAGACAATCTAGTGCCAATCAGTTTTCGAGGTTGGGAACTGTATGAGTATCCGCTATTGCCTAGAACATCGAAACATGTCTGGGTTGTCAAAACCTCAACACAACTGGAAAAACCTCGTTATGTCATTGTAGGCTTTCGAACAGCCAGAAAGAATGAAGTCATGAAAAATGCCAGTGTATTCGATCATTGTAATATTCGAGAAATTAAGTTATTCTTGAACTCACAAAGCTATCCTTATGGAAATCTGAGTCTCGATATTGCACACAATCAATCAGCTCTGCTTTAGGACATGTACACCAGCTTTCAAACATCTTATTATCATAAGGAGTCCGAGCCCCTATTCAGCAGAGAAAAATTCTTGGAAACTGCACCTCTCATCGTCATCGATTTCTCCATGCAGAACGAGTTCTTGAAATCTAGACCGGTGGATATTCGCCTGGAGTTTGAATCATCAAAGACCTTCCGCAACAATACAGCAGCCTACAGTTAGATCTTACATGATCAAATCGTTGAGTACAGTCTGCTCAGCGGCAGTGTGAAGGAACTTATATGATTTGAATGAAAAAACGTTTTTTAAAGAAATTTATGTAATCTTGAATAAAATGAATAAACAATAATTATTGGAGAACAAATATTTTATTCATTTATCACCAGCACTAGTATTATTATCGATAGGACATTTTGCTTTCAAAGTATGGAACATTATATTTACGCCTAGTTTTAATTCATTGAGAATGCCAAGCATCGGTGCAGCTGAACTCTCCTCCGTGAGATCCGGTCCTCTTTTTCTCTTCAAACCATTGCTCGTTGATGGCTCGCCCCAGGAATTAACCCATCGATCTCTGACAAAATCATCGTTCACCCTCAGGATCAACTCTTCAATGCAGTTCAGGATCACTGTCAGTGTAATTCCTTTCCAAGAGGAGAACATCATCGATGACACTCCAGATATTTTCTGGTGGAACATCTTCAAAATGTCGCGCAACAACCTCCTCGAAGTGAAGTACTGATCCAATAGCGGATATCGTCTGGCGAGAGTTGCTCCATGATTTCAACTAATGCATCTCTTGAAAATGCGCTACTTATATCCACTGACTCCCACTCTTTGTCACAACTTTTAATTTATAACTGAAATTCAGTTCCTGGGAATGGTAGATAATTTCTCGAAAACTGTCATCACACTCGTAACTGAAAAATTCTTCCTAGAAACAATTAACATTCCCTGAAGAATGTTTTAAAACTGTGAAAATAATTGTTATCCCCTTGCGTTTGGATGATGCTTTCAAATCAGAGACATCAACTTTAATCCACCGTTCAATCATACACCACTCTCAGCTGATGAGGTCGATGGACTTTTACATATCTTCATATAAATACATTTTGCTCCAGTTCCACTGCACGGCACATGCACCGGCGAGGCCACTCTTGTTTAGACAATGCGTACGTGCCCGCTGATAAATATATATATACTCGCTAGGTCACAGCTAACTCTTTGACGTAAAATTTCAATGACAATCCATTGGATACGTTTTCTGAAAAATTATTCTTCTCGAGAGTCTTAAATAATTATCTGAAAAAAAATATTCTCAAAAGAAATGTCGACATTTGATCGGGCTCTCCAATGGCTCGCCACCAAGCACTATGAAGGTCGTTCGTTCGATCGTGATTATTTACAGAAGACGTATGTGTCCACTGATAATTACAGGTGTGCAACGCACTTCAACCCCCCCTTACTATAAGAAATAACCATCTGATATCCGCATCCCAATCTCAACATCCCCCCCCCCCACACACAGCACCATCTTCCACCGCGTTTTCGAGGTTTGCATCCAGAACCCGTATTGTTTACCTACTATCAAGAATGTGGGTATCACTACTCTCATGAAAAATCTCATCTCATTAACACCCAACGAAAGCATCTCAATTGAAAATGCTGGATGGCTGGGCGTTCAAGAAAAAACGAGTTTAACTGATGGAAATGGTTGTTTTGATATTTCCATCCCATTAAGTATGTTGCTGGGATTTGCTGAAGATTATCGAAAAATTATGGTCAATGTGAAACATGAGCTGGTTTTGATTAGGGCTCGTCATGATAATAATGCTCTAATTCAATCCGCAAAAGAAGACATTAAGATCAACTTTAGTAAAATTGAATGGTTTATATGGCTAAGAATCAATCTTCGATACTTTACGATATGTATTCAAACTTTCAATCATCATATTACGATCAACAAATAAACAATCCATTGTTAATTAAGGCATATTTTGCAAATATTACACAACTAATAGTAATTGATTGTTCTAAGCAAAATGAATCCTTGAAGTTTGGGCCTGTCGATGTTGACCTAGAGTTTGAAACTAAAATAAGCTTTTCTCCGGAGACTGCTGCTTATTGCCCCATTTTGCATGATCGAGTGGTACATTATAACCCCATAAGCGGAGGGGTGAGGAAAGTTGTTTAAAGTGGGGGGGGGGTATAAATTCTCATGTCAGCAGCATCATTTCATCAGTTGCTATGGAGGTACGTGTGGACATACAAGGTTTTCAAACGTTCTTCAACGAGTTTATTTTAAAGGAATACGTGTAAACAGTATTGGATTCTGGGGTGGTATACCCGAACGTGTGGTTTTTCAAACCACCATGGAGATTCTCCAGTTTACCAGCGAAACATAGAAGTGTAGCTTTGTGGCTTAAGCGTCATCATCATGGATTACCCTGGGACTATGGGAATAGATCATACGAGCAAGTTGGACAATTAGTGCAAAAGTGGGAAAATATTGGTAGAATTTATGTGAAAGATGAAGAGAAAAAAGAGTGGTTGAAAAAAATTTCTGGTCCTGTATTAGCACCGCTAGTAGTTAATATTGAAGAAATTTTCGATGATTGTCCATCACTAGCCAAATTCAAAGATTTACCATCTCGTACTTGTCTATTTCATAGTTATAGTGACGACAACAAGGCATGTGTCGTAAAACATGTGGAGCTACTCAAAAACTGGATGGTGATGAAAAGAATAGTATGATCAGTGGATCGATCCTTCAATATTTATTACAAATTAAACAATTTAAATTTGATGGATTGTGAAAATATTGCATATCTGCCACATTCATTTATAAGTTCCATCGCTGCATGCCATGTTGATCAGTGTTGGGACAAGTTGACTGATGCTATGAGAGCTGATTGGTACATCAAAAGATGTAGACGTTGTTTGGAACATTATCAAACAATCGATGCTAATACTTTTGATGGACCACCCCCTATGATAAGAGATTGTGTAAGGTATAATAAGTCTTAATAAAAGCAAAATACTTTTAATTGTAATATTTATTCATGTAATTCTTTAGACTATTACATTAGTTACAGGGTGTCCCATAGCATGTGACCTAAGTGAATTTCGTAGAATACCGCAAGGTGGCAGTGTAGTCTAAAGTTTAATATATGGTTGAAGTGGAGACTCTCCGCACATTTCATTCATGCTTCAATCGCTCGGGAATTGCAGCACTAAAATGGAAAATTTAACCATCGAACAAAAATCATTCCTCATCAAATCTTATTATCGAAAAGGAGATTCAGCTACTGCAACTATAAGAGCATTTCATTCTTAGTATGGCACACACTCTGGAGTGTCTGATTCGAGTCTCAAACGGTAAATAAAGTGAATGATCGAACTAACCAAAAAAATTTGTTTTCTTCTTTTGTTGAAAATTGACGCATTTTTCGACCAATTATGGGTATTTTCGGGATAATTAAGAAATTTGATCGGTACGGTACACTAGACGATAGAAGGCATGAGCATCCTGATCCTTCACGTAGTAACCACGGATGAAGTTGTCCGCAGAACTGAAGAACATTTTAAAAAATATCCAAATGATACTCTTCGAAAGGCTTCTCAAACCTTGAAAGTCTCAAAAACTCCACTTCACCGCATCTTGACAGTGTTTTTAAACTTCCATCCCTACAAAATGTCTGTACATCAATTTTTAAGTGAGGAGGCGATAGCTCGCCGTGTGCAATTTTGCCAAGAACTTCACAATTTTTTTCAATCCAAGGAAATGAAGGCACAGAATATCATCTTCTCGGACGAAGTACATTTCTACTTAGGTGGCTTAGTAAATAAACAAAATTTTCGCTTTTGGGGGACTGAATCACCTCACGTTATTGAAACCAAGTCCTCACACTCGAAAAAAGTTACTGCATGGGCGGCAATTACAATAAAAGGTATTGTAATATTATCTTCTCTTTGCGTGACCTTGAGCGTGTTGCGTTAGGATGGAGGTATTGAATATTATTTGATTGTCATAAATAGCATTCAATACTTCCTGACGGTCGCAAAATAATATTTATTTTTACCGGGTACCTACCTATGAAGTGCTAGGCACATCCAGAGTCTGCGAGGGATTCAGGGAGGTTCATCAAAAAAAACAATGTGATATACGTTTGGATATTTATTGTATTGAATTTTTTTCTTTGAGAAAACGAAGGATACAGAAACTTTGACAATTCTGATCACGTAAAAGCTATTGAAACTAATTCCCAATATACGTTGTCCCAAGATAATACTCAATTATTCAAAATACATTATATCCAAAATGTACTATTGAGGGAGGAAGAGAGAGAGACTAAATGCCGCACCCTGACTGACAAGACGCGCGAGAGAATAATGCAGTACTTACTTACTCTCTCTCGAGGATTCCTCGTTGTAATTGTAATCCAATGGGACGATGTTTCTCGTACACAGAGACCGCTTGAAGACAGTAACCTGTGATTTGTTTACTGATTTTCTAGTTTTTCCGTTGAAATTTCACCAATTATCTAAGCACCGTGAATACACTTAATAAATTTTACAAATGTCAATAGGTGATTCTAAATTCGTAAATAATGTGTCCAATGCACTTTTCACGTGCACGTCCGTGTGACAAGTAATTTTTCACCCCGTCAACCGCGCCGCGTAGGGAACCCCACCGAAAAAACGATAAGTCGTGAACTATTTCCCGAAATTTACTTGAGATCGCCTACCACGAGCAGGCTTAGTAACTGTTTTCGGAAATTGGAATGCGATAGGTACTCAAGGAGCCCTTCCTGAAGCGTTTTCTTTCGACGCTGGAACGTAACTGCTCTCTCTGGATTTGGGGGGGTCACAGAACAGCAATTTTGATGAATTTGCAAAAGGGTCACGTGGGGTTCCGACGTAGAGCGATTCTTGTGCATTTTCAGGTGGGAATATGCTTCGAATTTGACTAGATGACTTTATTCCGACATTGAAGTCAGCAATTTCGTCAGCGGAAG